ACATTTATGGAACCCTTTTCTAATCCTTTCCCTTTCATCTCTACCCTTCCTTCAGTGTAGCAAGTGTGGGAACAAGTCATTCTCCAGGCCTCTATTTCAGGTGTCTGACATGCACTCCACTTCAGGGCCAGGAATCTGACTTCTGGCTACCTGGCTTCGTAGTTCCCTCTTACTTTCTTCAGCAGAACGAAACCCTCAACTTCCTGTCCCCCACCCTCCCAGCCTGTCTCACCCACTGACACCTCAATTTACATCTTCATTGACTGGCTTTCCTGCATACATGCCAGCTTCTGGCCTCTTTACTATTCATTCCATCCAGGAACAGCATACACCAACTGCACATGCTTCCTCAGCCTGACAAAGAGTTTTTAAACCCGAAAGCTTGCTAAAAATTTTTTCCAACTATTTAGTTGGTCTAATAAACGATATCAGATTTACCCAAACAGAGGCAACCCAAGCAGGGTGCGGGACCCAGGGCAAATCAGTCCATATGGGGTCCCGCCCCAATCCCAGACCCAAAGCTGCCACCGCAGCGTTGAGAGCAGGAGGTGGTGTAGTGAGTGGCTGGACACAGAGCCACCGCTCCGCCCAGCTCTGCACTGCCGCTGCTCTGCCCTGCTCCATGGGGCCCTCCAAAGCACGAGGCCCAGGGCAGTTGCTCTGATTCGCACCCCCAGGGACAGCTTGTACCCAAAGAACCTTGTCTAACTGTATGTATGGAACATTTTTATGGCTTTTGTGCCATGTTACAGCGCTTTAAAGGTAGGTGTAGCACTCTTGTAATTTATGCTGTGATTAACACATTAAATTAAGGCAGAAATGTAATGTGTAATTATACAGAGACCTTATCTTTAAGTCAAATACAGAGCTTGATGGTACATTTGAATGTATGGATTACAATTTTTACTTATACCCACACTTTTCATCGTTCTGTTTTTTTTCTTCATTTTTAGTCACGTGTTTTATTGTAATTCAGTATTTACCCCAGCTTTCTTCTTCTTCCTCCTCCTCAATGCCCTCATCTTCATCATCTGGAGCAAGATGCAATTTTGTGTCATTATCTTTCTTAGTTTCAGTGGAGTTTGTCAGATCCGCTTTACAGTTGCTGACATCATCCAAAGTCTGGAAATTTAATTGCAGGGGGAGTCAACTCACAGTATATGAACAGACCTGAAATTTTATTTAAGACAATTCCACACAAGGTAATATACGTTTTAAATCAGTGCTCAGCAAACGTGTTGTGGAGGCAAGGCAGAATGACCCGGCTCAGGTCTGAGGCAGACCAATACTAGCACTCAGATGCTACTACTCCCACTTCTCCCTGCCACTCAGCCATGTCACAGATGAAGTGCCCCCATCACTCAGCTGTGGCATAATCTGATTTAGACAAAGCTCTCTGGTACTGAAACCCCTGGTCTGCGGGCTATATCCAATGGCTCCACCAACCGTAGCTTGGCAAGCCCTGTTCTACACTATTGACAACATGGCTAAGAGCTACCTGCCTGAGGTAGAAAGAATATACAGCGTGAGAGAAACTGACATTGTTAGAATAGAACATCCAGTAGATCCTGGCTTATCTGAACCCAGCAAAACTGTTCCCTGTTCTGATATGCAAAATGTTCAGATAAATTAGAAATCTATACGTATAATAGCACCAAAAAGAGGTATATTTAAAACAAAAAAAACTACAGTCCAGAAACACAGTAACATTATTATAAATAAATAAAAGGTCTGTATCAACACACACACACACACACTTTTTTTGTATGTCTGGTGACCAGCTTGAGGGCTCGCATTAGGAACAGTCTGCGGCAATAGCTCTCAAATGTGTTACAGTTCTCATTAATTTACAGGTGTAGAAACATGACTTAGGAGAAATGTCTGACAGAAATAACACCATTTAGTTTAGACTAGGAAATGTGCATGAGGGGATTTGATAACAGTCTTCAAATGCATGAAGAATGGTTATATGGAGGATGGAGATAGACTATTCCCTGTGACCACAGGGGACAGGACTAGAAGCAATGGTCTCAAACTGCAGCAGAGTATATTTAGATTGGATATGAGAAAGACCATTCTCATAAAGAGTGGTTAAGTACTGGAATAGGCTACCCAGAGAAACTGGGGAAATCTCCATTCTTGGAAGTTTTTAATGTCAAGTTAGACAGAAGTTTGAGTGGGATGGTTTAAGCAGGCCTGATCCTGCCTTGAGTAAGAGGGATGTTGTACTACATGATCTCCCAAGTTCCCTTCCAGCCCTACTTTTCTATGGTTTAAAAATCATACTCTCTCTTAATTTGGCCCTGATCCAGCACAGCATGTGAGTATACATTTCAAGTTAAACATGCCAGTGGTTTCACTGAAAACAGTGGAAATACCATATTTACACAGGATTTTCCCCATTTAACATGGGGGACAAAAGTCCCTTGTCTTGGAACAGAGTACAACGTAGGGGCCAGAGTCAGAGCAACAGCACCA